TGTCTTTCCCACATCCGGGAGAGTTACGGTGTGGAGAAGCCCCAAAGAAGCTTACCACCCAGACTGTTGCATGCCCAGAGTGAAGCATGGGGGTGGATCAGTGATGGTTTGGGCTGCAATATCATGGCATTCCCTAGGCCCGATACTTGTGCTAGATGCTGCCAAGGACTACCGAACCATTCTGGAGGACCATGTGCACCCAATGGTTCAAACATTGTACCCTGAAGGTGGTGCCGTGTATCAGGATGATAATGCACCAATACACACAGCAAGACTGGTGACAGAGTGGTTTGATGAAGATGAAAGTGAAGTTGAACATCTCCCATGGCCTGCACAGTCACCAGATCTGAATATTATTGAGCCACTATGGGGTGTTTTGGAGGAGCGAGTCAGGAAACGTTTTCCTCCACCAGCATCACGTAGAGACCTGGCCACTGTTCTTAAAGAAGAATGGCTCAGAATCCCTCTGGCCACTGTGCAGGACTTGTATCTGTCATTCCCAAGACGAATTGATGCTGTATTGGCCGTAAAAGGAGGCCCTACACCATACTAATAAATGATTGTGGTCTAAAACCAGGTGTTTCAGTTTCATTGTCCAACCCCTGTATATATATGTGTGTGTGTGTGTGTGTGTGTGTGTGTGTTTGAAGTAAACATGTAAATGTGCTGTTGAAATTTGAAATATTTACTTTAAATCTCAGAGATTATTTCAAGTAAATTTAGACCAAAGGGGTTCGGCTGACAAAAAAAAGTTTGAAAACACTTGGCTTATATTACATTTTGTAAAAAGGGGCATAATAGGATCCTTTCAAAATCAACAAATTCAGACAGAAAAAAGTAACATCTGTATTCAATGGTTTCTTACTTATTTTGGCAGTCCTCCAAATAAGGATCGTGCGAGTCAACCCTCTTTAGCACTTTTCTGACATTCTCCTCCAACCACAGCATCAATCCAGCCTCTTTCCACAGGCTGTGACAGCGGCCCACATATAGGGACACTAACTCTGAGAGTGCAGGAGGCTGCCTAAAAGGTGCAGCAGAAATAAATACAACTGCATCACATTCATACATGCTGCAATAGTTCTGTCAACAGAAATCTTTGGATCTGACTATTTTTAAACACATGAAGAAAGTGTAAGAGCTAGAACAAATTACCCGATTTGACTTGATGGCCCAAAGAATGCGTGAGAAGACACCACAGCATCAGGTTGAACTGTGCATAAATCCAAAAGGGGCATCAGTGCTGCAAAACATTTTGACACACAACATTAAAAAGCATACTGCATTCACATTGCAAGCCTTACAGTGCTTAACTCTGATTTATTGCTGAGATCCATTTTTTATTTATTTTTGGCTGTCTGAATGATTGTTCGAACTCCTATCACCACAGAATTGTGACAAAGGTTTATATTGAGTGATGTAAAAGTTGCATGAATTCCGCTATGACTATTTAGACTGAGGTCTCATTTCAAAACATCAGACCTGTATCAGATTTAAGACCACATATGGAAGTGGACCAAAACAGAATCGTACAGATCAAATCGTATGTGGTTTGTGCTGTTCACACTGTTATGAAACCAACAGATCTGAGTCACATATGGATTTGGGCCACTTTTGCCTGCAGTCTGAACATAGGGTAAGATATGCAGCCTACAGCCTGAGACACAGATGTAGATCATGTTCTAATCACTTATTGTCTTTTTAATAACTATTGAATAGCTTAAGGGTTCATATTCATGTTTAGTATGTGTGTGTTTGAATCTTCTTGCTTGAAACATTTCTTCCAATCAATTCTTTGTCAAATGTATCATATTCTTGTTATAGAAATCATGTCCAAAATTATACTCTGCAAGAGCGGGAAAATTCGGACCATGTGGCTGATGAGATGACATGTTGATTTATGTATTGGGAGGAAAAACATACAACACCCCGAGCAAAGACAATATCTAATTGGTCAAGTCACCATTTGGGATGTGTCCAAAAGCCCAGTTTAAATACTCAGGACACCATCAAATTATGCTTCAAGCCTTTAGTCATGCTTTTTAGCTTTTAGCTTCTAGCCTTTTCGCCACCGCGTTTTGACGCTGCTTTTTAGTGCTCCTTGAGTGTGCTCTGCCTTACACGCCATCTCTAAAACCATGAGGAGAAAACCCAACTAGTCTCGTTACTTCTATTCTTCTACTTTAATTTGTTTTCTTTTCCATTGAGAGTTTCGTGTTCTGAGTTAAGATTTGTCTCTGAGTTCACCTAGAGTCTGTGACCGCCTCAAAACTTCAACCAGCCCACAACTCCGCATCTTCAGCAAACGCCCAACCACTGGCTTCCCAAGACGTCACTTCAATGACTACTGAACTTCCAGCCAATCAGCAACCTCGGGAAACCCCCTTTTCTGCAAAGACGACAACAAAGGGAACCCCGGACACAGGAACGCAAGTACCTCCAGATTCTAGCTGAACTGGTGCATTTAATATAAATTTTAACCTCATTGAGGAACTCAATTCAAGGGTTAATTAAGTGATTGATGGTTGTTCAGGTCTATGCAATTGCACATATTGCTGGGAACTTGGGATTTCACATTTTCATTCTCTTAAACTCATTCTTTCCTCACTTTCTCTCTTCCTGCAACTTGTGTGGATGTGTGAGTGCGTGTGTTTATGTGTTAGACTAGTTTATATGTCTTCGATTTATCTAATAAACTTTATATTGAAAAGAGAAGTATCTTGTGTTTTGTGCTTACAAGTTAATGTCTTAAACTGCCGATCTTGTTACTGTGCTAATAAATAGTGTTTTCACTATACTTTGGGATATTAATATCCATTGCAGAATTTATGTTATATGGCTCGTTCAATGAATCGCTAGCCGACTCAGTGATCAGCCGTAAAACAGTGATTCTGTCCAAATTCCCTATAAAATCGTAAATGACTCCCTTTGAGCTAAATTGACCTGTTTCCCTTACAGGTGGTACCGAGTAGTCTCTAGACAAATTTTTGGGGTCCTCCACTTTTGGGGTTAGTGCACTAGTCCCTCCAGTGCAAACAGCAGTTCAAAAACGGAATACCCTTAGAATAAAAGGTAAATAGAATTAATTTTAATTCTATTTTATCTATTTTTCTTCTTTTTTATTTGAAAAAAACACTAGCTTTCTAATTTTTCTATTCTATCTACTTGTTTTTCTTTGTGTGTGTGAGTCAGAGTGAGTGAGAGTGTGTGTGTGTATATATAAAAAACCTTGCTCGGGTGTACTGCGTTAGGCTAACCGAGACTTGTCATCTGCACTTACATATTTGTTGCTCTTTTGTTAATTTTGATTGCTTCTATTGTCCTCATTTGACATTTATCTGTGTGCTGCACATTTGACGGAGATCAGCTTCCAGAACCTGAGAGAGTACAATGCCAGCTACGCACAAAAGCTTCTCCTGCAGCTGTATAACAGTTTTACTGCAGTTTATGTAATACTGTTCTAATTTAATAATCACTCCCCTTTAAAAGTCACATTTTGTTGCTTTACAGACTGAAATGAAGATGGACACGGTTTCTGTTTTATCCAGCTGTATTGCTTACTTATAACTTATAACGTCCAAATGAAAGATATACACTCCTGAACAAAATATTAAGACCGGGGGAAACATTACAAGTATTCGCATTTCACACTGGTGGATCGTATACAGGTTGTAAGTACTGCTTCAAAATGCCAAAAGAAGAAACAGGAGAAAGAGACAAAAAATAGAGGGTAGGCAATTTATTGAAAACGGCATTTAAACTCAAACAGGCTGCTCATCAGAAAGATCAAAAGTTTAAGACCATAGCCTTAAAAAGTTAAAATCTGCGCAAAAATATGGGTTTCATGTCATTGTCCTTCAGGCAGTCACACTGTCATGATGTCCTGGTGGCAAAAGCAAAAAGGCTTTCTGTATTTGAACGTGGCAGTATTGTTGAGCTGCACAATCAAGGGCTCTTGCAACGCGCCATCGCTGCCGAGGTTGGGCACAGTAAGACAGTCATTTTACATTTCTTAAAAGATCCTGAGAGTTATGGGACAAAAAAGTCAAGTGGTAGATCCAAAAAAATTTCACCCTGCACTGAGCCGGAAGATCCGACGGGCTGTCCGTGAAGACACAGGCTGATCCTCGACCCAAATTAAGGCCCTTACTGATGCTGACTGCAGCCCAGTAACCATAAGATGGCATCTGCGAGAGAAGAGCTTAAAGAACAAAAAACGTCTTCAAAGGCCACGTCTCCTCCCACGCCACAAACTTGCCCGTTTGGAATTTGCAAGAGAGCACCAAACATGGGACATTGAAAGGTGGAAGAAAGTTTTATTCTCTGGCGAGAAAAAATTTAACCTGGAAGGTCCTGATGGCTTCCAACGTTACTGGCATAACAAGGAGATTCCACTGGAGATGTTTTCTACGTGGTACAGTGGAGGAGGCTCCATCATGATCTGGGGTGCTTTTTCCTTCAATGGGAAAATAGAGCTTCAGGTTGTGCAGGGGCGTCAAACGGCGGTTGGCTATTTTGTTCTTTAAGCCCTTCTCTTGCAGATGCCGTCTTATGGTTATTGGGCTGCAGTCAGCATCAGTAAGGGCCTTAATTTGGGTCGAGGATTGGTCTGTGTCTTCACGGACAGCCCGTTGGATCCTCCGTCCGAATTTTTTTTTAGATCTACCACTTGACTTTTTTTGTCCCATAACTCTCAGGATCTTTTAAGAAATGTAAAATGACTACAATCAACCCCAAAATATCTTCTGATGACAGAATTTTCATTTTTGAGTTGACTGTCCCTTTAAGGCAGAAGAGGATGGACAATTAAAGAAATGAGAAGAACTTAATGACCATGACTTTGATTACACATTGACTTGTAGTTGACAGCATGATCCATAGAGCACTAAAAAATATTTTTTAAAGCTGTTGACTATTTAAACAATTAATTTTGATTTAACGCCATTATTTCAGGTTTCCCATTCAAACACGATTGCATCATGTTAAACTGACTTGAAACAGTTACTTTTTGGCTAAACTTGATGTTTTGAAAATGTTTCAATCAAGTAACTCAGAAATTAATTTAAAATAGTAGCTTATGTCTATGGTGGTCCAAAAATATTTAAAAGAAATTTAAACTTACTCTATGGTTTCTAATTTCTTTTAAATAATGTTTTCCGAAAAATTATGTTTGTATAGAGTAGGGCTATAAGTTATTATGATTTTATCTTTCATTACTAAATAAATAACAATGCTAAACAAATAAATACATAAACAATAGTAAATACATAAATCTATTTCATATTAAGCCTACATTAAAGGTGACCTATTAAGCCCCTTTCTACAATATGTAATACAAGTCTCAGGTGTCCCCAGAATGTATCTGTGAAGTTTCAGCTCAAAATACCGCACAGATCATTTATTAAATCATTTTGAAAATGCCTATTTTGAGAGGAAGCAGAAACACGCTGTTTTCGTGCCTGTATCTTTAAATGTAAATGAGCTGCTGCTCCCCACCACCTTTTCCAGAATAGGGCTGTGCCTTTACAGCTCGTACGTCAGATACTCTGATGAAAAAAACAAACATTTGTTTGGTTTTGATTATCATGTCTGCATGCTTTGCTCGAACTTGCCATGGTGTTAGAACTGGTATAACGTTGTCACTTGCGAAAACAGAATGTCGGCGCCGTGAGTGGAAACCATAGGGTGGAAACGTGCATATAAAGGGGCGGTGATATTATAATAAGATCCCTTTGCCACGTCACAAAGGGAGCGAAATCTGATGCGCTTGTTTTTTCAGATGCTTGCAGAAAAAGGCTTACCAAAACAAAGTTAGTGGGTTAATCTTTTTCACATTTCCTGGGTTGGTAGATGCACCGGGGACCCGATTATAGCACTTAAAACTGGAAAAGGTCAGATTTTCATGATATGTCACCTTTAAGCCTTTTTTAAAGTAATAACTTTTACTCATAGCAAAACATTTTCCCGGTGTGTTTCCTAAAAAGGGGGGGAAAAAACACGCCCATTTTCTTTCAGTCAGTCCCACCCACCCATCCCTCACAGCTCACTCAAAGAGTCCCGAAAAAGAACAGGTAAGCATTTCAAATTTTTTTTATTCCTATTTAAAGCACTTTTGAACATTTTATGATATATTATCGTACCTTATTATTTGAAGCTCAGTGATGCTAATGTGTGTAACTTTAGCAAAGAGGAGCCAACGTGCAATTTCATCAAAGTTATGAACGACAAGTGTTAAATATGCAG